TGACAAGCATCCTCAGAGGCAGTGAGGTCTGTTGGAACTAGGAAAATGGGTTTATATATCTGTGGAATGACCAGACTCTTGTCTGCTGGAGCTAGGTGTGAATGTTTCAACTGTCCGCCTTGATTAGCATTTGATGGCCTGGCAGTGACTGGGGCAATCTTTTGTTGAGAGGTGATTAGATGTCCCTGATTGTTTTCCCTCTGTTGTTTTGCTGTTGTGATTTTAGAGTTTTTTTTAATACTGGTAGCCAGATTTTGTTCATTTTCATAATTTCCTGCTTCTGTTGAAATTGTCTACATGCTTATGAATTTCAGTATCTATCTACCTCCAGGTGTTTTTGACTTCAACTCCCACAATTTCATCAGTATGTGGACGACATGCTCATAGCACAGGCATTGGCCAACTTGGGCCCTCCCTCCAGGTGTTTTGGACTTCAACTCCCACAATTCCTAACAGCCGGTAGGCTGTTAGGAATTGTGGGAGTTGAAGTCCACAACACCTGGAGGGAGGGCCCAAGTTGGCCAATGCCAGTAGGCCATTAGGAATTGTGGGAGTTGAAGTCCAAAACACCTGGAAAACAGTTGTCCCATGCCTGATCTATCTCTAGCAGAGGATCGATGGCCATCTGTCGAGAGGGCTTTGATTGTGTCTTCCTACCTGGCGGAATGGGGTTGGACTGGATGCCCTTTGGAGATCCCTTCCAACTCTAGGATTCTATTATTCTAATACACACATGTAGAAGTGTTTAGTGTGGGTAGATGTTAGCCATGTTGAGTCCCCGTGGGGAGAAAGGCAGGATATTAATAATAATAATAATAATAATAATAATAATAATAATAATAATAATAATACAAACCCGGTGACAACCATTTCACCACTCTCACAACCACCATGTCAGACGACAAGAGAAGCCACTGAAATCCACGAGCATATGAACAATTTCAAGAGAAAGGAGGAAACCATGAAAACGAACAAAATCTGGATACCGGTATTTTTTAAAAAATCTCTAAAGTCAGGGACAGTAAATTAAAAAAAAAAAAACAATACTCAGAAGACAGTGGAAGTCTGGACAGGAAATAATCAGAGCCAGCTAGCACTTCCAACAAATGATTCTCCCAGGCAGGAAGCAGCCAGGCTTTGAAGCTACAAGACCATTCAATGCTAATCAAGGTGGCAAATTGTAACATTCACACTTGCCTCCAACAGACAAGAGTTCTTTCTCCCACCCTGGACATTCTACGGATATATAAGCACCACTTGCCCAGTTTCCAACAGACCACACAATCTCTGAGGAAGCCTGCCATAAATGTGGGTGAAACATCAGGAGAGAATGCTTCTGGAACATGGCCAGACAGACTGGAAAACTCACAGCAACTCAGTGATTCCAGCTATGAAAGCCTTTGACAACACATAATTCAATATCATTTCATTGGTGGAATGTCATATGTTGATAGCCACCCCAAACCAAAGCAATGGTAAATAATCAAAAAGAATTAGACAAATGCAGAGAGAATAGGTTTACCAGACGCTATATCATACTTTATCTGTCTATCCATCCATCTATATCATACTTTATCTGTCTATCCATCCATCTATCCATCCTCCTCCATTTATCCATCCCATCCATCCTATTTATCTTTCCCATCCATTATCCATCTATCCATCCATCCATCCACCCTTCTTTCAATCAATTTATCCATCTATCTATCTATACATTCATCCATTTATCATCTACCCATCTATCCCTCTATCTATCCATCTATGTATCCATCCTACCCATCTTTCCATCCATCCATCCATCCATCCATCCACCCATCCACCCACCCACCCATCCATCCATCCATCCATCCATCCATCCATCCATCCATCCATCCATCCTTCTATCCATCAGTCCATCTATCCATCCATCTATCTATCTATCTATCTATCTATCTATCTATCTATCTATCTATCTATCTACCATCTATTCTATCTATCCATCTATGTATCCATCCACCCATCTCCATCCATCATCCACCCACCCATCCCACCATCATCCATCCATCCATCCATCTATCTATCCATCTCCATCTATCTATCCATCCACCCACCCATCTTCCATCCATCCATCCATCCATCCATCCATACATCCATCCATCCATCCATCCATCCTTCTATCCATCCATCCATCTATCCATCCATCTATCATCTACATCTATCTATCCATCCATCCATCCATCTTCCATCCATCCATCCATCCATCCATCCATCCATCCATCTCTCATCCATCATCTCCTATCTATCTATCTATCTATCTATCTATCTATCTATCTATCTATCCATCCATCCATTTATCATCTATCTATCCTTCTCTCATCCATCCATCCATCCATCCATCCATCCCCATCCATCCATCCATCTATCCATCCTATCTATCCATCCATCCATCCAACCTTCCTTCCTTCCATCCATCCATCCATCCATCCATCCATCCATCCATCAATCCCTCCCCATCTATCTATCCATCTATCTCTATCTATCTATCTATCTATCTATCTATCATCTATCTATCTATCCATCCATCCATCCATTCCCACCTCCCATCATTCCTATGCCACCTCTCTCTCCATCTGGGGCCATGTGGGGCCCACAATGCTAAAACCCGATCAACCCAACCATCCATCCCCATCTATCTTTCCATCCATCCATCCATCCATCCATCCATCCATCCATCCATCCCTCTATCCATCTATCTATCTATCGATCTATCTATCTGTCTGTCTGTCTATCCATCCACCCATCTTTCCATCCATCCATCCATCCATCCATCCTTCTATCCATCAGTCCATCTATCTATCTATCTATCTATCTATCTATCTATCTATCTATCTATCTATCTATCTATCCATCCATCCATCCATCCATCCATCCATTTACCATCTATCTATCCATCTATCATCCATCCATCCTTCTATCCATCAGTCTATCTATCTATCTATCCACCCATCCACCCACCCACCCACACATCTTTCCATCCATCCATCCTTCTATCCATCTTTCCATCAGTCTATCTATCTATCGATTGATTGATCGATCCACCCATGTTTCCATCCATCCTTCTAGCCATCTTTCCATTAATCTATCTATCTATCGATTGATTGATCGATCCACCCATGTTTCCATCCATCCTTCTAGCCATCTTTCCATTAATCTATCTATCTATCCCTCCATCCATCCATTATCCATCTATCAATCGATCTAGCCATCCAGCCATCCATCTATCCTTCCATCTCTATATCATCTCCTGGAATGACTTGAGGGCAGTCAACTAACAACCTATAAACATTTCGTAAAGCATTTCCGACTTTCTGCAATCCTGAGGCAAACCCAATATGGGATTTTGGTTTTGGTTCTGTTTATTTTTAATACTGTGAATATTTAATTCTATTTTAATGTTTGCATATTTTAAAACTGCATTGTATTGGTGAACCGCTTTGAGTCTCTTTTTAGAAAGAAGAAGCGGGATACAAATAATAATAATAATAATAATAATAATAATAATAATAATAATAATGGCAGAATAAATTATTATTATTACAAAGAAATATTGCAATAATAATAATAATAATGGCAGAATAAATTACTATTATTATTACAAAGAAATATTGCAATAATGATAATAATAATGGCAGAATAAATTATTATTATTATTATTATTGTTGCAATATTTCTTTGTCTCCTCTGAGGTTGAGAGAGTATGACCTGTCCAAAGGCATCAAGCTGTCTTTGATAGCTGAGTGGGGATTTAAACCCTGGCCTATCGAGTCCTGGTCTAATGTTCTAACCACATTGGGCTCCCTCCCATCTACTCTTTCATATACAAATGCTAGGTATGGGAACAAACATATTAAATTGTTCTTGAATGATAGTTAAAGGCTTGAGGCATTGGTCAAGGAGCTGGACTAGATGGCTCAAACTCTTCAGCAGAATATCAATCTGACTTGAGAGATGGTAGAGCTTCCACCTATCTCTGGCTTGAGGCATTGGTCAAGGAGCTGGACTAGATGGCTCAAACTCTTCAGCAGAATATCAATCTGACTTGAGAGATGGTAGAGCTTCCACCTATCTCTGGCTTGAGGCATTGGTCAAGGAGCTGGACTAGATGGCTCAAACTCTTCAGCAGAATATCAATCTGACTTGAGAGATGGTAGAGCTTCCACCTATCTCTGGCTTGAGGCATTGGTCAAGGAGCTGGACTAGATGGCTCAAACTCTTCAGCAGAATATCAATCTGACTTGAGAGATGGTAGAGCTTCCACCTATCTCTGGCTTGAGGCATTGGTCAAGGAGCTGGACTAGATGGCTCAAACTCTTCAGCAGAATATCAATCTGACTTGAGAGATGGTAGAGCTTCCACCTATCTCTGGCTTGAGGCATTGGTCAAGGAGCTGGACTAGATGGCTCAAACTCTTCAGCAGAATATCAATCTGACTTGAGAGATGGTAGAGCTTCCACCTATCTCTGGCTTGAGGCATTGGTCAAGGAGCTGGACTAGATGGCTCAAACTCTTCAGCAGAATATCAATCTGACTTGAGAGATGGTAGAGCTTCCACCTATCTCTGGCTTGAGGCATTGGTCAAGGAGCTGGACTAGATGGCTCAAACTCTTCAGCAGAATATCAATCTGACTTGAGAGATGGTAGAGCTTCCACCTATCTCTGGCTTGAGGCATTGGTCAAGGAGCTGGACTAGATGGCTCCCAGGAAAGGAGATTCCATCTGAACATTAGGAAGAACTTCCTAACTATGAGAGCTGTTCAGAAGTGGAACTCTCTGCTCCGGAATGTGGTGGAGGCTCCTTCTTTGGAGGCTTTTAAGCAGAGGCTGGATGGCCATCTGTCAGGGGTTCTTTGAATGAGATTTTTCTGCTTCCTGGAAGAATGGGGTTAGATTGGATGGCCCACGAGGTCTCTTTCAACTCTATGTTTCTGTCCCCGAAGCAATGCTTTGGGAGGCCAACTTACCCATTGTTGAGAGTAGCACTGCCAGCAGAAGGGCCCTCTCCATCCCCAAGCTGCCTGGGGACCTCATGGTTTGGATGCTGCTCTTGTTTACTGTACGTTTCCTAGTTGCTGCATTGGAGGGGAAGGTCTGGGCGGCAGAAAAGTCCTTTCTGAAGGCAAAAGGATGCCGCCCTCGGCTTAAGAACCCGGCCGGCCTTGCAAGGATGCCATCTCTGCAGAAACCCAGAGCCAATGAGAGCTTGGCATTTGGCTCTGAGGGGGCCTTCGGGGCCCAGAACAAAAGTGAAAAGGGGGCATTTGTGTTTGGCGCTTTCCAAGCGTTGGTCAACACACTCCGGTGGCATAGCTGGGCAAACAGCACCCATTGTCCGGCCGCATTCCTGCCTGCATGTAGGCGAAGCTGCAGCCCCCAGAAGGAATGCCAAGCCGTCCATGGAAGAGACGGGGCATCAAAAGGGGCAGCAGGACTTGGGCAAAAGCCTGCCTCTCTTTCCCCTCCTGTTGAACGAATCTTATAATGTCCCTATTAGGAAATAAACCTCTCCCCCATAGTGAATGCTCATGAGTCCTGGGCCGAAAAAGGAAAGTGCAAAGCACTCCTTGAAGCTTGCACAACATTTGGGCAGAGGACAGTACGCTATTGACACAATATTTATTTATTTCGGTTGCTTCTACCCCGCCCTTCTCACCCCGGAGGGGACTCAGGGTGGCTTACAAAAGCGAAGCACAATTCGATGCCCGCATCACATACAGCAAAAGACAATAACATCATTTAACAACAACAATTCTATCAATAACAGCAATTACCATAAGACAATAGTTAAAAACAACCATAAAACCAATAAAAGCAATACAAAATCCATACAAACCTCCTTGACGGTCAGTATTTCACAGACTCATAGTTTAAATTCCAATTCCATAATTGTCAGTCCTTTTAGTCCTATTCATCTGGTTTCCATATCTAATTGTCAGGTTGCCCAAAGGCCTGGTCCCACAACCACATCTTTACCTTCCTTCTGAAGGAGAGGAGGGATGTTGATGCCCTAATTTCCCCCGGGAGTGAGTTCCACAGGTGAGGGGCCACCACTGAGAAGGCCCTGCTCCTCGTCCCCACCAGCCTCACTTGTGATAGCGGTGGGGTCGAGAGCAGGGCCTCCCCAGATGATCTCAAATTCCGGGGTGGGACGTAGAGGGAGATACGTTCGGACAGATACACTGGACCGGAATCGTAAAGGGTTTTGTAGGTCAAAACCAGCACCTTGAATTGTGCTCGGAATTGAACCGGCAGCCAGTGGAGCTGGCACAGCAGGGGGGTGGTATGTTCCCTGTATGTCGCCCCGGTGAGCAGTCTGGCTGCCGCTCGCTGGACCAATTGAAGTTTCCGAACAGTCTTCAAGGGCAACCCCACGTAGAGTGCGTTGCAGTAGTCTAAACGGGATGTAACAAGAGTGTGGACCACTGTGGCCAGATCAGACTTCCCAAGGTACGGGCGCAACTGGTGCACAAGTTTTAATTGTGCAATCTAAATCTATATAAATAAAAATGTAATGTTCGTTTGTGGGATTAACAGAACTCAAAAACCACTGGGGGAATTGACACCAAATTTGGACACAAGACACCTAACAACCCAATGTATGTCCTTCACTCATAAAAACACTGAAAAACACAGCAGAAGGGACTTAAAAAACCCCCAAAAGCTAAATGATGAAAAGCTAAATGACAAAACAGAAAAAAGGAAGAAAGAGGGAGGGAAGGGGAAGAAAAAAAGAAAAGAAAGATAGATAGAAAAGAAAGAGGGAAGGAAAGAAAGAAGGAAAGGGAGTAGGAAGCATGGAAGCAAAGAGAGAAAGAAGGAAAGAAGTAAAGAAGGAAGAAAGGAGAGAAAGAGGGAGGAAAAGAGAAAGGGAGAAGGAAGGAAAGTTAGAAAAGGAAGGAAGGAGAGAAGGAAAGAAAAAGGGAAAGAAGGAAGGAAAGAGGGAGCAAAGGAAGGGGAGAAGATGTAGAGAAAGAGGGAGGGAAGGAAAGAAGGAAAGAGAAGGAAGAAAAGAGAGATAGCAGAAGAGAAAGAAAAAGGGGGAAGGAAGGAAAGAGATAGAGAAGGAAGGAAGAAGAGAAGGAAAGACAAGAAGGAAGGAAGGAAGGAAGGAAGGAAGGAAGGAAGGAAGGAAAGAGGATGTGACGGAAGGAGGGAAAGAAGGAGAGAAAGAGGGAAGGTTGGCCACAGCAACGCGTGGCGAGTACAGCTAGTATCTATATAAATAAAATGCTCTGTACATAATGAGTACCTTAAAAACAAAAAAACCAATAAACGAAATCACACAAAATTTGGCAACAAGACGTCTCACAAGACAAGGAGTGACCATCACTCAAAACAATATGATTTTGTCATTTCGGAGTTGTAGTTGCTGGGATTTATACTTCACATTCAATCAAAAATCATTCTAAACTCCACCAACTGTGGAATTGAACCAAACTTGGCACACAGAACTCCCTTGGCGAACAGAAAATACTGGAAGTGTTTGGTGGACATTGACCTTGAGTTTGCGAGTTGTAGTTCACCTACATCCAGAGAGCACTGTGGACTCAAACAATGATGGATCTGGACAAAACTTGGCACAAACACTCAATACGCCCAAATATGAACACAGATGGAGTTTGGGGGGAAATAGACCTTGACATTTGAGAGTTGTAATCACTGGGATTTACAGTTCACCTACAATCAAAGACCATTCTGAACCCCACAAACAACAGAATTGGGGCAAACTCCCCACACAGAACCCCCATGACCAACAGAAAATACTTAAGGCCAACCAGTCCAACTCCCTTCATCAGGGCAAGAAAACATAATCAAATTCCTCCTGACAAAGAGCCATCCAGCGATAGATAGATAGATAGATAGATAGATAGATAGATAGATAGATAGATAGATAGAGATAGATAGATATGATTCACACACGCATACATATAGTATCATAGATTTGAAAGGGACCCTTAAAGAAGGACAATGATACGTTGCATGTTCCAGGATGGCCAAACCAGTCACTCTCCACATCAACATGACAAAGAAACAGCAAGAAATGCTGTTTATCCACAAGCATAAAGACGCTACATATATTAGAAACCAACACTTTCTCATTACTTTATTTTCTAGATCACCAGACTGGGCCATAGTAACGCGGAAGGTAACAACGCTCCAGGCACATATGACCTTGGAGGTGTCTACAGACAATGCTGGCTATTTGACTTAGAAATGGAGGTGAGCACCAACCCCCAGAGTCGGACTCGAAAACCTTTATCTTTACTTTATATTTACTTATACATAAGTAAGCATATAGTCATGCCGGCCACATGACCTTGGAGGTGTCTAAGGACAACGCTGGCTCTTCGGCTTAGAAATGGAGATGAGCACCACACCCCAGAGTCAGACATGACTGGACTTAATGTCAGGGGACTACCTTTACCTTAAGTAAGCATATGCACACATATCTTTATATATATATCTACGGCATTCCGCGCATCTACCCAGCTTGTAACTCTATTGAAAAAAGAGATCAGATGAGTCTGGCATGACTTGTTTTTGATAAATCCATGTTGACTATTAGTGATGACCACATTTGTTTCTAAGTGTTTGCAGACCACTTCCTTAACAATCTTTCCCAGAATCTTTTCCAGAATCCTATCTCATCAGCCAAAAGCAGGGCCACACTTTCCATTGAAATACTAATAAATTTGTGTTTGTTAAAATTGTTCTTCATTTTAATTATTGTGTTGTTTTTAAGTGTTTTTGTAGTACAAATAAAATATGTGCCGTGTTCATAGGAATTCATTCATGCTTTTTTCAAATTATAATCTGGCCCTCCAACAGTTTCAGGGACTATGACCTGGCCCTTAGTTTAAAAAGTTTGAGGACCCTAATCTATATAAATAAAAATGTAATGTTCATTTGTGGGATTAACATAACTCAAAAACCACTGGATAAAGTGACCCCAAATTTGGACACGATACACCTATCTGGCCAACAAGTGACCATCACTCATAAAAACACTGAAAAACACAGCAGAAGAGATTTAAAAAGCGAAAAAATAAAAAAAATACATCACAACACATGCGCAAAACCATACATATACACATACATACACACACAAAACACATATACACAGACTGAGCCATAGCAACGTGTGGCAGGGGATGGCTAGTTATTAATTTAATATTATTATTAATATGGTCCCCATGGTTCTCCTAAAGCAGTGTTTCTCAACCTGGGGGTCGGGACCCCTTGGGGGATCGCGAGGAGATGTCAGAGGGGTCACCAAAGACCATCAGAAGACACAGTATTTTCAGTTGGTCATGAGGGTTCCATGTGGGAAGTTTGGTCCAATTCTATTGTTGGTGGAGTTCAGAATGCTCTGATTGTAGGTGAACTATACATCCCAGCAAATACAACACCAAAATGTCAAGGACTATCTATTTCGCCCCAAACTGCACCAGTGTTCACATTGGGGCACACTGAGTATCTGTGCCAAGTTTGGTCCACATCCATCATTGCTTGAGTCCACAATGCTCTCTGGATATAGGTGAACTACAACTCCAAAACTCAAGGTCAATGCCCACCAAACCCTTCCAGTATTTTCTCTTGGTCATGGGAATTCCATGTGCCAAGTTTGGTTCAATTATATGATTGGTTCAGAATGCTCTTTGATTGTAATTTTGCTACTGTTATGAATCATCTTATAAATACCTGATATGCAGGATGTACTTGATATAAATATGCAATATGCACATATTTGAATACTGGTGGGGTTGGGGGGGGGGAGGCTAATTGATTTTGGGAGTTGTGTTTCCTGGGATTTATAGTTATAAATTCCAGGATAAATCCTCGTCACTTCTTTCCAAGATGAAGAGGAAGCATTAGTGAGCACCCTCTGGGTTCGTCCATTTAACCAATTCCAGATCCACCTCACCATAGTTTTGCCTAGCTCACATTGGACTAGTTTCCTTGCCAGAAGGTCATGGGGGACCTTGTCGAAGGCCTTACTGAAATCCAGGTACGCTACATCAACAGCATTCCCCGCATCTATCGAAAAAAGAGATCAGATGAGTCTGGCATGACTTGTTTTTGATAAATCCATGTTGACTATTAGCGATAACCGCATTTGTTTCTAAGTGTTTGCAGACCGCTTCCTTAATAATCTTTTCCAGAATCTTGCCTGGTATCGACATGAGGCTGACCGGACGGTTATTGTTTG